TTATGATGGTAAAACAGTTCAGCAGAGGGTAGAAGTCCTGAGAGCAGCTGCTTCACCTAAAATTAATAGGGCATGATGTTTGAATTCCAGTGGCACTTTTTTCGCTGTGTATAATTACTCCAAAGAAATTAAGAAACCTTGAATGCCAATAATACTTTCCACCATTACGATTCTTTCCTACATTGGAATATCCAACCACTTTAGTGTTGTAGAATATGCATCATGATCTCTAAAGTAAGGCCACTTCATGGTTTAGGCCATTACAACTATTTGCAGTGCCTTGAGAGACCGCAGTTCTGGTTGATAAGAGAGTGGTTAATAAGATTGTCGAATTGATACTGAGGAATGGTAGACAGTTTGAAGCAGTTATGGTTGAACAAGATGTTAAGCATGGGAGGTTTCCTTTTCTGCTGCCATCCAATCTGTATCACCTTCTTATTTAGAAGCTCTTCAAAATGCCAAAAAGGTATGTTTCTCACTTTTCAATGGGATAAAATAGGTTGAATCTGATTTGGAACATCTTATTTTCCATATAATATATTTATGCATTGAGGTATATGAAGATACTCGTTTTTTTCATTTGAATATTATTTATATTTTTATTATTATTATTATTATTATTATTATTATTATATATTTTTATCATTGTTATTAAATAATTACAAATATCATTTCAGGCCCAAAATCAGACTGACCCAATTACAAGAACCCAACCCAGATCGACCTAACTACAAACCCTAAACCCATTTATGATACCCTAAGGCCACATGGCCGCCGTTCGTCCATCTCCAGCTACCTTGCCGACGCTGCTGTCACGCCTCAAGCCTCGCCGAGCTTTCCAGAAGAGCTAGCTGCCCCACACGTCGCAGCTATTAGGGTGAGTCACCACATATCTCGGTGACTCACCAAACAGCCACCCTTTACCCGATCCAAAGCCATCACCGGTGATGGTTATAAGAAAACCATCAAACCTAGAAAAGAAAAAGGGACACAGCCACCAAAGTTCTTTAATGAGGTTTAAGAGTGAATTTGACTTGTCATCAATCTAATTAACCTGTATGAAGTGTTAGAATTAGATTTGTAACATGTTAAAATTTGGGTATGATTCTTGAATTTCATAAGGAGGAGAGGATATACAGGTTAAAGAAGTGATTATTGAGTAGAAATGAGTGCAAGTATGTGTATGAAAGTTAGGAATATTAAATGAGGCGAAAGATAAAGATTTGAGCTGAAAAGAAAGTGAATTTTGTGCTCTAACTGGAATTTCTGGGTTATGTGCATCGATACACATTCATTGTGTACCGATGCACTCTCAAATAAATGAACATCGAATGCAATTAGTGCATCGATGCATAAGGAGTGCATCGATGCATCCCCTTACGAAAAAAAATATCGAAGGTGATTTGTGTATCGATGCACGGGTAGTGCATCGATGCACCCGTTAAGGAATGCATTGATACACTGTAGAGTGCATCGATACACTCCTTTATTAAAAGATGAAAAAAGTTTCCTTTAGGCTAAGAATTGATAGTTTAGAATATATTAATTAGTATACTGATATGTATCAATATATTACTATGTAGATTCAGAGCTTAATCGAGTTCCGGAATCATTGACAAGTAAGATCAATCTAGGGGAAAAATAAGAGATTGGTATTGACTAGTGAGGCCATGTGAGTACATATTAGTGACATATAGTGTATAATGGAAATAAGACTTACGATGAATCTATTTCCTAAAGTAATATGCATGAACTCATGAACATGATTATGTGGTTGTTATGATTATATGTGATTATATGTATTACATTAATTATATGTATACATGACTAAAGATATTGATATGCTTTGTATATGCTATATGGTTGTCCCTTTGTATATGCTATATGATTTGTGTAAAACATTATTATGTAATAATGGAAGAACATGAAAGACGTTATATGATAAAGACATAAAGAATGAAATGAACATGTGACATAAGCTATAAGTTAATGAACCATTGATATATATATATATATATATATATATATATATATGTGTGTGTGTGTGTGTGTGTGTGTGTGTGTGTGAACGTAAGATAACCAAGTATAAGTAATATTATATGGTATAAGTGATGACACAAGAAAGGTTAAGAGACTCTATGAGGATAATATGAATTTGAGGGCATAAACATAAGTAATGATACATAAGTTATATAGGGAAGATTTAAATACTTAAAGGAAACTACGGGTTATGAGTTATAAAGTGAAGAATTACAAAACTTTCTGAAAGAGTATTATAGAAGTCATGGAAATTGAATTAAATAAATAGATAAAACTAGTATATAGATGATTCATGTGAGTGAAAGGGGAAGTGAGATAAGATAAATAGAAACTATGTATAGGATAGAATGAGACTATTTGAACTAGTAGTATAAACTTTATAAAAGAAGACTTAGGTAAACTCAGTATATGATACAATTATAGAACCTTATTATATAAATTATATTAAAGAGTATATATGAGTAAGTTTATAGGTTAATGATAGAACATATAAGATTATATAAATGAATGATCATATGGGAAGGGGGCTAAGTTTAATGATGTTGAACCCTATGAGTAGAAGTTATGTGATTATAAGTAACATGATTACATGATCACAAGATATGATACGTGGACATGAGATATATGAAAGAAAAAGTATATGTCATATGAAATATTAAATGACTATGTGATTATATGAAAAATAATACAATTATATGTGATAAGCTTTGTGATACGTGAACCATGTGTCTATGTGTATATGTGAATCTATGCTAACATAAATATTAATGCCCATGTTATGTGACATGAGAGCTAGAGGTATAGTTGGCATGCCAAGAGTCGAGGGTCTACGCGGTCCTTCGGGACATATATGTATTCTTTGGAACATGTGTGAGGTCTTTTGAGACACATACTTGATCCTTGGCATATGTATATCATTCTTAAGGAATTTTCTACGTGGTCCTTAGGGACAACCTTATATGGCACTTTGGTGCATTTCTACGCGGCACTACGGTGCAATTCTACGTGGCACTTCGATGTATTTATACGAGCTGTGGTGACATCATTAGTGCACAACCTCTATAGACTCACATATCTATAGTTCTCACATGTGTACATGGGCTAATAAAGAGATAATTGTGAAAACAATGTATGTGATATATGTATATGATGTGTGATATGAATTGCATGATATGATATATGTGTGATATGGATTATTGTATCTGTTACATGATATACATGAATATATGTTGATGTATATGTGAATGAGTATAAATGTCTTATATAATGATATAAGAATTTGTTAAAAGATATAGAATATGAACGAAAGAGATCATATGAACAAGAAATAAGAGATATAAAATATAATAGTGTAAGAGTATGATAAAACATAAATAATGACATGTATGTGTACAAGTATGTAATTGTTATATGATAAAAGTATATGAGTGGTATGATTTGATAACATAAAACAGTCATGCATTATTTGTGGGTATGAATTTCATTAGATGCGTTTTTTATGCCTTACTAAGTCATAGACTTAGCGTGTGATTGAGTTACAGAAGTGAGAAGAGTAAAGAGCAATGTGGAACTGGACAGGTCAGTCCTCCTTACCGAAGGTCAGATCAGAAACATATGGATTATATTTATTTTGTTGGCATGTAATTACAATATTTGGATTGAATATGCTTTGATCGGTTTGAAAAACAATTTGATTGTATTTATTAATGAAAAGTACTCATATTTTTATAAATAGAAAATTTTAATATTTTGTAGATTTGTAAAGACAAAGTTTTGAAAAGTCAATGTGACACCTCGGACTCGTATTTGGGTTGAATACGGGTTGGAGGTGTTACAAAGAGCCTTGCGCTCTACCGACTGAGCTAGACGGGCTTTCCTTGGTACTGCAGTTAAGAACTAGGGACGGGCACGTATCGATGGAGTTTACATTATGAGATAATTACGTAAGATATCCTAAACTATGATCATATTCTAACATTTTATATTAACCCTTAAACTATTAACATTATTATATTTTAATTCCTTTGTGTCATGGATTCAATTCTCAATACTTTGTAAACTCGGTACAAACAAAAAGATAAAGATGGAATGAAAAGATGAAATTTGAAAGAAAAGGTTTAGAAGGCGGCAACGAGAGAGATACCAAAATGATACATATCCTCTCTCAAACTGAAAAGATTGATTAACCCAAAGTAGGCTCACTAGGAGTGGGAATGAAAGAAAAAAACAAGAGGTATACATACCTCAAGGGTCCAACCAACGTACTTCACATTGTTGACAATGGTGAAGAATAAAATTTAAACAAGTTTAAGAACCCAATAGAAAAGCAATTTACATCCACAACTACTCCGATGCTTACGGTTAAAACCCTTGCCAGCATATTCGGCTTTGCTGTCATCGAGCCACGATTGGACCACAGTCCACAGAGAACAATAACAGTCATTCTGTTTCCTGGGATTATCATTTCATTTATCTATTCAAAACACTTATTATGATCATCATGTTCTTCGAATAATATACCATCAGCAATGGGTAAAACAACCAACGCGGAGCTTTTGGCAATGATCTAAATTACAGAAGCAGGATTTGTTTTACTTCAAAAAGGCTTTTGATTGATTTTAGCAAAGCTTACATATTCTGAAGAACAAAATATCGACCATCTGATCCAAAGTCAGACGCGCTATGCGGTCAAGTCCGATCCGTTTCGAGAATTACTTTTACTCTTAAACATAAAAAAGGATCGTCATTTATCTATTTGCGCTTTTCTGTTTTGGTCACCATATTATATTTGAGTTATGGTATGTTAATAATCTAATATTAGAACTTATCACTGTAAAATAGCTAGTGCATCACACAATGTTTTTAAGATTAGATTTTCTGGGGGGATATTCTGCCTCTATAGTTTTAAGTAATATTCGTTGTATAACATGATGAGTGCTTTACCATGGAAACTAATTCTCATAAGATCTTTCATATCAGAATTGAAAATAGAACAACAAATCCTCCAATAATTCTCAGTAAAACATCCAAAAGACTATCATAGTTGTGAAGCAGCAATGAAGAATGAGCAAAAGCTATCATGACCAGGAACTGGCAACCCTCCTCCGATGGATTATCGTCGGTGACAATAGCCAAACCGGAGAAATCACAGTCCCAAATGTGCTGGTTATTCACTTGATAGTACATGTTGAAAGCATAAGAAGCATTTCCTTTAGCAGATAAGTGATTGCATGAAGAACCATAACCCAAAGTAGTACAATCCGATAAACTGCAAGCATAGCTAACACTTTCAGGCAACTCATCCAAATCGGTCGCTTTAGGATCCAAAACGCACCATCTTTTGAGTTGGTACTTCACATCTTCCACCGGAGCTAGCCCTTTTTCAAGTTCTAAACCTGTTAAATCGAGCTGATACTTCGGCTTTCCATCGAACTCGAAAATCCCCCAGTGTCTCTCAAATCCACCAGGCTCGACGCTTTTAGCATTTTCATCGATGAGGCTGAATAGATAAACTTCGATCTTTCCTTTCCGGGCTGGGGTTCCATCTCCACTCAAAGCATGCTTGATTAATCCTTGGTTAAACCTCTTTGCATTTCTGGTATTGGCATTTTTGTCACCATCGGTTGGCCAACCAACCTCTCCAACTATGACCTCCATGTCAGGGAATCCAGCTCTACTCAAAGCATAAACCAGAGTATCAAGGTTAGCATCAAATGCATTTTTATAAACTCTATTACTATCTCTGAGAGGCTTGCTTAATCCGTCGAAAAACGCAAACTCCACGGGGAAGTAATCGTTTCCGTAAAGGCTGAGGTAAGGGTAGATATTGACAGTGAAAGGCGCATCATGTAAATACAGGAACTGGACTATTTCAATCGTGAGATCCTTGACCTCAGGCCGAAAGTCACCTGCAGACGGAACTGGATTGGACTCCGGGGAGTTATAGATGTCGGCATTGAATGGAACCGTGGTTTTGTACTGACATTTAACCCCGGATTCATCAAGCGCTCTCTGGATGTTTTTGAGAGCTGGTAATGTGTATTGTAGATAGGTGCCATTGTATGTTTGAAGGAAAGGTTCATTTCCCACTGCAACATACCTGACAAAACAAATCAAAGCAAATTATGCCACATACACTAAAAAAGACTGATACATATGCAGCTTGTTCTAAAGCTCAGAAATGAGACTATATCAAAGACATTACTGAGCTAGAACATTTCCGAAGGCGATAATATGCCCTCGGCCACCCTTTTCTAGTTAAACTAGGTATGCAAATGAACTAAGCCATCCAAGTTGAACCCCTAGCCAGAGATACGAGTCACCACTAACATGAAAATCCAACTTTAAGGAAAAGTTGGACTCCAAAATTCCCAGAATATGGGTTTAGCCTACCGAATGGAACTTCTTTTAGTAGTAAGTCACATTCCCCAAGATCCCCAAAGCCTAGGCTTTCTCTATATCCCAAAGGCTCAAAATGACCTAAAGAAACACAGGGAGTTCGAGCTTAAAAACACTAACGATCATCACTAGCAAAGAAATGAACTAAAGATAATAAACCCCATTCAAGAAATTCATTGAAGATTAAGCAATGAAATGAAGATTAATGAATGAAACAGTTCAAGAACAGTGCATGCATGAAGAAATGCAAAGCCAAGAAACTGTTATATATATATAACTCGATTACTTGATATATACTCCGCCGTCATAGCAATAACCAGTGACGTTATTATAAACCCAAGAATCGGCGGCTCCAGGATCTTCACTCATCTGTTTCAACATGCTATTCGGAATCCCCACCATCACTTCAATATCCGTCCCAATTAGAGCCGTCATAATCCTTTCATTGTACTCGAAGAGCTTCAGCTTGTGAACCCCATTATCTCTCAGCATTTTCACCACTTTATCCGGCGGGAGCTGGTGGGTCGTCATGGTTCCCCAGTTCACCCCGATACCGTTTCCACTATGAAGCAGGGTCGCTGAGGCAAGAAATAACAGTGGCAATAGATGATAAAACTGGCCGTTTAACATTCTTTTTGGTGACATTTTTCTATTTTCTGTTCCTTCTTTAATGGGATTCTCTCGAAATAATGATCTTTCTTGGATCCAGAAAGAATCAAGAGAGGAATTATGATGACCGGGAAAGGGAAGTAGCTCTGGTGCTTATTCTTGATTTTATAGGCCTTGGGAAAGAAGGGAAACGAGTAATGTATGATGAGGACATTCTTTTTTCACTTCTCTAGTTGATATTGAAAAAACAATAATTAAAATATATCACAACTATATAAATCTGTTCTATACTTCATGTTCGTTTCACTGCGTATTTTATATTTTATTATATATATGATAAAGTCGAGATTTTGATTTAATAGTAATGTTAATTTTTATAATCAAGAGAGAAATAAGATTATCGACAATGAAGAAATCTTAGGGTTTTCGATACAAACCGAGGTTTTTGTAGTGGAGTGACTTTATAATACACAAAAGCCAGAGGAAAAGAAAAGCAAAAGGAATGTAAAGATTCCTTTCTTAATTCAGTTTGTTAAAACCCTTTCTTCCAGAGCTTGCTGATAAGTATTCCAAGACTGAGCTTGGATATGTAATGGAAAAGTATAAAACCACCAATATAATAACTAACGACACATGAAATCAATGGAATGCATTGATTAATCTTGTTTGGTTCTTTAAGTCCAAATTTATCTCTATACACTACTATTACTTAAATTCAAATCTAAAAGTACGTTTATTGAAAAGATTTTATCTTGAAATGTTCTCGAGCGGACTAAGTCGAATCCAATTTAGGGCGCATTTATCATTTTCTTTTACAAGATGAGTTCGTAGGAAGCAAGATTCGTATTGACTTGGGAGTCAACGCGTAGTGACATAAAGATGTCATTTAGCTTTACACTTTACAGAGAAGAAAGGGATAAAGAAACCCCATTGACCGCCCTTTTTTCCTTTTTAATTTACAATGCAAGGAGAAGAGAATCCTCTAAATACTGATGTATTATTCTTTGCGAGTGTTGTTGCACTTAAAAACGACCCCTTATAGCATTGTGCTAATAATGTCAACGTATTGTCTTCTTTAGATGCCGTTGCCATAAAGAGCAACATACTCGGCAAGATTTTATCCCCGACTTCGAAGAGAGCCGAGAGATGCATCTCGATGCCTGAACATTCATACAAGGGAGGAGAGATCAATGAATAAACTTGTGAATTCGAAACTTTGATCCAATTGATTCATACAATTACACCTAAAAGTATGACCATCCAACAAATTGAATGTCCGAATCTTAACCCTTTCTTTATCTGCAAGCTACTTGTTTTTCAATAATAAAAGGGCAAATTTTGTGAATCGGTTTTTCCCCCAGCCAATACTAACACTACATTTTTAATGTCAAATCGGTGAAGTCTGGTGATGGACGAAATCTGGTGTCTTACAAGTTACAACAAAAGTTCAAGTGCTCAAAAATTGGATGTCTTTGGGTCATAACTCATAACCCACCAGTGGCATGACATGTAGAGTCAACGATGTCTTCAATAAAGCATGCTTCTGGCAGCCTAAAGCTTAAGCAAAACATTGCCTGCACCACCAAATGCATGGTTCAGTGGAGGCCATTGGAAATCCACGCAAACTCATCTACCCTTGATGACAAAAATGGCTTTGGTGGAAAGAGATGGGAATTATAAAATAAAGAACAGATTAAAATTATATGGTAGTTTGTGTACCTTGTTCGGAGCAACATCCCTAACCCTATGAAATACTGGATCTTTTATTTTGGCATTTAGGGCAGACTCTGCCTCCTGTAAAAGATTTGAGAAATCAAAACGCAGTTTTAACAGCAAGAATAAAATAACCATAGATTCACGATAAGTTTGTCCATCCTATGGAACTTGCCAAATGAACTGGATTAAAAGTGGCTTATGTAAAGAACAAGATAATGGTGGGAAATAATATCATCCAGGTTTTGACTGACAGTAGCAATTAAAGAAACACAAATCATAGCACAGCAGACTTACTGATATTATTGATTCTGTGGTTTCATTTGCTCGTATGAAGCAATAGCAATGAACCAATGGAAGCAGTCCTTGCCAGTTCTTCCTTGAGATGATAGCTCTGAAAGCATCTGAGGATAAAAAATATATATTTCTTAAACTAAATCTTCAAGCAGAAGGGTGTTATGCAGAAAAAATAATAAGCAGGTAGCATGTGTAGGAAAGGGCAGTAATATACACACAATAGTACCCAAAAAATCAATTCAAGAAAACAGAGCAATAATGATTACAATTGTAATCAGTGAAGTTGAGGTACAATAAAAATCAACAAATATTTCCACCCGATCAGCCAAATTAAAGTTAGGGAATGCTTGACCAGTTGTCTAAAGTACAGGCTCAAACACACACGAAGACACATTGACAAATATATGGATATACAAATATCACACTGGAACAGAATATGTACCTAGAAACTGTAAAGCGGAAGCAGGAAGATTCATAATAACATGGTCAACATGCTCCCAGGACTTAGTTTTAGGCAGAGTAGAGGCTTTCATCCTCTTATGCGCATTTCCTTTTTTCTTATGACCACTGTTGACATTTCCACTCTCTGCAATATCAGTGCAAAAATTCTCACTCGTTTAATTCTAAGAAGATAATGAAATAACTAAATATATAGCGATTCTAGCTTCCAGGTTGGTGATATAAAGAAGTACAAATATTTGATTACTACAAGTTCTTCAGTTATAACCTAATTCCCAGTTTACATTATTGTCATACCTTCTATGAAACAATCTGGAGGTCTTTTACCTGCAACTACAGAACTATCCACAGTCTTATAAGAATTTTGCACATCTTCCACTTCATTTTTGACATCAGTACCAGTTACTTCTTTCTCCCTAACTGAAAAAGAAAGGAATATACTGATAAACATATACATGGCTCAAAGGAAGATGATGCATAAAATAATAATATAGTACCATCAAGCTTTGTGCCTTCTTCCTTTGCATCATCAATATCTTTTACGGTGCAAGTGTCACAAGCTTTGACCATGGAATTATCAGATTGTAAATTAGATTCACAAACCGGTACTGCCATCAATTGGGCAATGAATTTCCTAGCATCCATATTGTATGCAACAACACAATCATCAACCTTATTGATTTTGGCATTGATCTTCAAATAGTGAATGCTGTCAGGATTTAAGTCATTTGCATACACTAAGCATCCTTTCAGTGCTGCTGGAATTGCAAATGGTCCAATACCAGCAAACATGTCACAAATTGTCTCCCCTGGACGGAACAGAGACACAAGCCTTATGTGTTCATGTTCCAATCTTGAATTCCAATAAACCAAGCTGTAATCTAGCTTGAATGTTGCACCATATTGCTTCACTTCGGTAACCATATCACTTTCACCTGCCAAAATTTCAAATTTTGGCACTCGAAACTCATTTGTGATTGTTCCAACTTTATTAACTACTGTTTTAATTCTTGGGTAATTTTTCTGCCAAAAGATAAAATTTCAAGCAACCAATACCAGATAAGGACAACTAGAAGCAAAGTAATAATAGCAATCATAATACAACAGTAACTAAAATGTTAAAAAACTGCACACATTAAAAGATATGACCAACAAAAGAACAGGAAAACAGACCCCAGTAGTATTAATATCAGTTCAAGAATCCCTGCAGAATGAAGGTTTGAAGTAACTACTAGCAAGGGAAAGTTTTAGATCAAGGGTCAAAGTCCAACCAAATATAATAAGTTAAAGCACCTTATTTATAGGCAATGGAAGTGAAGAATGATGAAATGTTCAGATCAGAGACAAATGAAAACTCACATCATAAATGACTTTTGCAATCACTTCTTTGAAAGGAAGTAATTCATCGTGTATATTTAGATGTGCAACATGACCTGCAGAGGTCAGATGAAATGTTAGCCGTCAATGGTATTGAATCATTTTATATGGACTTTCATTTTCCCTGAAGTACCCATGTCCAAAATATATCCTGATTCCGGACACAGGTACAAGGATATGAAAACATTCATGCATTGGAATAATAGTGTATCTGGCATTCACCCGGGTTAGTTAAAAAAGGGAAGGCTAAAATGCAGGGTTAGTTAAAAACTTAACTATTGTTTCGAAAGATGAAGGTACCTCTACCCCAGGAGGCAGAATCTGCTTCAATATATGATCTACAAATTCATAAAAATACCCTTTAACTCAGGATTAAAACTAAAACATATACAAAAATCAAAGAGAATTGATGTAGACATGCATTAATTAATGAGAAGAAGGCAGCTGACCAGCAGTCCAATAGGAATATCCGAGTGTCAATGAATAAGGAACAACTTCAATCTCACATAACTTCTTGAGTTCATCAAGTATTTGGCTTTGAATATCGGATAAATCTGCTCTATTTCAGAAAATAAATAAATTCCTACTAGTTAAGGGAGGAAAAACACAACAGGTAGGAAAATTTTACAATGGTTTGTTTCTTACCAGGATTCTGAACTATCTCAGATAAAATCACGTAACGGGTCTTCTCACTTGTTGGATCTTCAGTTATAGGTTTAACACGAGGCTTTTCCAGCAAGTATCTACAATACCAAAATCTAAGCTTCGAAAAAGAAGGGAAAAACACTGAAATGGGAATTAAATTTGGAAGAAGAGAAAAAGAGGCGTACCCATTAAGCAAACGAGTGGCTTTCGTGCAGAGCTCGCGAGGGATTCGAAGTGCTAACAATTTGAGATTTACATCGAACTGACTTTCGTCCAACATTGCTTAAATTCGCAGTTAATTTGACTTTGAACTCCAATGAAAAACCCAGTTCTGCTAAAAAAAATAACTGCGGAATGGAAGAGAAATAATGGATTTTAATTCAAAATAATAGGGGGAAATAGTAAGGTTGATACATTCTGGGTTTTTTAGTTTTAGGGTTTAGGGTGGTGAAGTATGTGATTGAAATGGCGTCGTTTTCGGTGCACAACTTGATAGTTGAGTTGGGCTTGATAACGTGGGCGGGGGAGGTCCCTTGCCCTATCAAGATATTGAAAAATCATTCGGCCTTATAAATATTTAAAACCCTCAATTAAAAACATTCAAGTATTTTTAAATCTCTAAAAATTTTAATTAGCTTCAAAAACATTTTAAAAATTATCGATAAACTTTTCATTTTAAAAGATAATTGGACTTATAAAAATTTTAAAGTTTTTCTTAAATTGTACGATCAAAATTCGTCTCTGATTAAAGTATAAACGAGTTTCAATCTCCGTGAACATGCGGATTTTAATCTCATTATTATCTTTATGATAAAAAAGGTTTTAATAATTTACAACTTTTTAATGTTGGATCCCGATATCTCAATTCCTAGTGTTCTAAAAATATTATTGTTTGATGTTAGTGGTCAAAAGGTGCACATTATGATGTCAATGAAAAGTTCGATCTTTGGAATCTAACTTCAAAATCACTCCCTCTTTAGCTTTAGCTTTCCCATTGTAGTTTCAACATGTCCCATGGAATAATATTGGTGGCCGGCAATTGTTTTGGACTCAACAAAGAAAAGAAACGAGTTAATGAATTGAGTTTTAATGTTGCAAAAACATGTTTGCTTATTTATTTATTTATTTATATTTTTTAACAAATTAAGACTGACGGACCAGAGAATGTTAATTATTTTTGTTACATTTGCTGCCAGCCCGTCCACTCCAGACATCCAATAAAAGGACAGTAAACGTCAATTAGATTTTCCATATTTTTCGACTGCCGCCGTTGTTTGATTGGAAATTTTAGGCACACAGGAACATTATTCCCAATTTGGAACCCACCCTGTATTTTCAAAGGGGCGAGGCATTAGATTTTCTAATTTTCAGCACCATCTTCTTCGTCTCAGTTACTTGTTTGGTTAAACCACTACTCCTGGTTTTTCATGATCATAGAAGATCGGTAGACCAATATTCATACATGCATGCATGCATGCTTTTATCCACACATACATACATATAAATCAAATTGCACCCGAAGAGCTATGAATTTGTTTTGTTCTTATGAAACGAACCTGAAGCTTACCAAGCAATATTATTGATTATTGAATTTCGAGGCGCACCTACGGGCATTATGGGATGAAATTTTCAGTTCTTAATGTTTTTCTTGTGGTAATATTTGTCGAGGAGCATCTCAGAATACTCTCCAAAAGTAAGACTGCCATTTGGTGGTATCAGCTGAAACCATCGCACAACAAAACTTCAGCATTAGCTAGTGTGCGAGAGTGAGGCCCCATACACATTAATAATAATACGAACATTTTTTCCCTGTAATCAAATCAAATTCAAGCTGTGAGAGTTTCGAGCTTGATTCGACATAAAAATCAAACTGTTGAAGTTTGCTCGCTTGCTCAGTAGCTCAGGTTATTCAAGCTCAACTTGACAATGACTGAGATGGATTTTCTTACTTTGGGTTGAACCCGAATAACTTACGAGCATAGGTGTCTCGTTTAAACTCTCAATTTAGGTGACTGATAAAATCATAAAAGTTCAATATTCTCTTTAACAGCACATGTCATGCACATGCTTTTGAAAGTTAAAGCATACTTCTAGAACTAAGCTTCTTCTAAACCCAATTACCGGTGAAATTGAAATTCACTTCCAACAATGGTAGAAATATAGAGCACATACCTCCTTATGAATATGAATGTCCTCAGGAAAATTAAGTTTTTCATCCCTGCAAATTTAAAAACAAAGATCCTTAAATGGAACTGATTTTCCTAGCCAAATGTTAATAGCCATTTCTACTCATTATCGACACGTACCAATCGGGTTGCATAAACAGTGCAAATGTTGAACGATCAATGCCAGAAGACTCCTTTCCTTTTGGTGCCTAACAGAATCAATGAATAAAGGATGTTATAAAGTAAGGGTAGAATAAATGGACAATAGATACTAAACGATATTTTTGCCCCGGCAGAAGAGAAAATACCTGAACACAATGAGGTGTTGCACAAAGATAACCTTGAGAAAGTATTTCAGTGGTCTCGCCAATTTGGTATGCTATTTCATCTTCTCCAAAAATAGCCTGGTGCATAGGAGCACAAGTTAATAGAATAAATATGTGGAAATCATAGGAAATAGAAGGTCGACGTTTTCAATGGTGCTTGAAATTATTGGTTGAACCGCACTATTGCTTCGGAAAGCCATTTTCTGATTTCTCGAATTACAAGCACTTCATTGTTAGCATTTTTTAATTTAATATCCCCCCTTACTTGAAGGAACTTCAAATAATTTAACTCAATTTTTATCCCATCAGGTAATATGAAGCCCTTTAAAATAAAATTAGCTAAAAGTCGTAGACAGGAAATTATGAAAACAAGACACTATAGATTTGCATGATCATGTAATGCGATTATTGATGAGTACTGTGACCAAGTGCATACTTTGACGATTTCACCACTCCGTGTTCTTATGTAAAGGCCAGCTGCACTATCAGGACAAGAAATTTCTATACCACTCCTCTTAAACATGCCACATGTCAGACCTACAGATTAAATTGAAGCCGAAGTCATGGATATGCATAAAACTGACGACAATGATTTCAGTCCTTTTGCAAGGCTATGAAAAGATCAGACTAAAGACTCATCACCTGTCAATGAGCCATGGTCAGTATGCCATCCGCACCAAGAAGACATGGAATCACCATTTTCTTCATGATTACTGCAAGTAAAATCATATATTACTTCATAGTTCATACATTCTAGAAGCTAGAGAGAGAAACTTAACTGTTGGACTGTGGAAAGATATATAAACAGAAAACTACTGGGGGGAGGGGAGGTACCTCAGTTGGGCAGGAAAGTAATAAAGCAAACGCCCTTTATGACAACGAGAGTGAAGAAGTATTTGTTCAAGACCTTCATCCTTCTGCGTTTTCATCCCCCTAGATACTGATCATGCAATGATGAAGTTAAAGAGAAACTCAAGACGGCGATCAAAAAGACCTTGTCCTCTGTTTAAGGTAAATTTAACAGGTTATAGAATCAAGAAAATATGTACAGTTTCCAGTTTACTCAAAAGGACTAGGATCAATCCAGCACATATCATGGTATAGTGTCAGATGACTCAAATCTAAATATATGAATTTCAAAATGTTGAAATGTGGCCACCCTTCAATTTTCAAAGGTCTAATCTCGGCTATAAAAGACTGATCAATCAGTGAAGCTGGTCTGTACAATTTAGGTCCTCATGCAACTATACAATTTCATATTATCCGTATCTAGAAAGTAGAAACTGGAATTCAAAGGAAATTTACCATAGCGATCACAGTGATATGCCACCAGCAACCCAACATCAAATATCAGCTTTCCCAGAGCTTTGAAAGCTACAGAGCAGGGTCCAATAATCAACATTTAGAAAATCCTATGTCAGATGATCTATAAGATGGAGCTTGATGATAAAATAAACAAATGTTTGATATTATTTCTTCAGAGCAGTTCGCAACTTACAAAAAGACCATGACATGCTTAAATTTTCATTATTTTTTTAAGAAGAAAAGTGGACATACCCACTTCAAGTTCTGGCAAAGCAGCCTGAGGCCAAATATTTGCTCCGCAATATGATGCATACCTACAAGGCAGAGCATAGGTGATCGATTAAACATCTGAGCTCAATCACATATGGCATAGCCACATCGTGCACATGCTATATAATAATAAGATCCTACGAGAACAATATAAATAAGGGATTGGTTGGTCTCTGAGTTCATAAGGGAAATGCAAATACTGCACTCATCAATGTTCTTTTCATGTATGGTACTCATTGATGCAAATAAATCACGTATTGAATAATATAAGAGCCTACAAATAGGCGTGTGTGAGTGTGTTGATTCCTCTCTAAGCCAATGCAATACAATGCTACAGAAGGAAAATGCAAATATGGAACTCGTCACTGCCTTTCTTTCACATTTACCTCTGAATCAAGGACGCATCATTGGTTGGCACATCAAGTAGGGGATTTGCATAGAATGAACCTTTCAGAAGATCTTCAAAGCATTAAAGAGAAATAAGTTGAAATCATTGTAAGGCAAAGAAAATTTAAATGACCCAAGAAGAAAAACTAATTGAGTGTAAACTAAATAGATATGTCGAAATCAATTAAATAGGAAGTAGACTTTTTCAAGGCAGTTCGAGCAAACACCTAGATCTAAAATTATGCCAACATGTAACGAACCTTAGTCTCTTAATTTTGTTTCAGATCTGACATTAAACTTATTGAAAGAGCCTTTCTCCTCTAAATGTAACTTACAATAGAACATATTGGCAACAAAGAGGGCATACACATAACGTTAAAGCTATAAGCAGTTTAATGTTTTAGTATTGAGTTAAACTAGAATGTTTGAGTGGCCTACTTTATATCAGCTATTGGGTTCTTTATGTTCTAGGATTACATACAATTACGAAGAAAATCAACAAAACTGCGTGCTATCGACTCTTGTAAACATCTTGAGTAGTAAAATACAAAGTGTGTACACATTTACCAAGTTTCCCAGATTCAAGCTGCTCTTTCCCATGACTCCAGCCAAAATTGTACCTACAGGTAAGAAACAGTTAAGAAGAACAGTGCATAAAGAAAACAGTCTCCAACATGATGCCTCGGCACTCTATTTAAGAGCAACAGTCATGCATTTTTAATAAATAAGTTTCTCAGGGGATTATTAGAGTGACTGTGAGAGCAATAAATGTAATTAGATATATAAAGATTGTGATATAATTAGGATGCATGAAATTAGAGATAATGTATCGTTGCTTGATTCTTTCCTAAATGGTTAGAGCTTCTTTTCTTTCGACGATTACAATAAAAACATCTCGATTATTAGGAAAAGTAAACGAAAAAGAAAAGAC